CCAAAAACAAACCCTATGCAGATATCTTTAGGCAGTGGGAGCCCAAATCCTTTTTTTGAAAACAAGAAACCATCACATGAATAATTTGATGAGATATGCCAAGTCCTGCACCTGGGTAGGAATAGCCCCATGCCCCAGTGTACTTTGGAGGCAAACCAGCTGGAAATCAGGACTGCAGAGAAGGGATGGCGATCCTGGTACACAACAGTTTGAACATGAGACAGCAACGTGCCCCTGTAGCAAGGAGGGCCAACAGCTCCTGTGCTGCCAGCAGGATGAGGAAGGCAAGTCTTCCCATCTGCTTAGCACCAGTGAAACACATCTGGAGTGCTGTGTCCAGGTGTGCTTCTCCAGTACAAGGGACAGACAGGAGACAGTGCAGCAAAAAGCAGCAAAGAAGATTAAGAGATTGAAGCATCCTTCCAATGGAAGGAGGCTGAGGGCTGGGGTTGTTCAGCCTGAGGAAGGGAAGGCTCATGGATATCTAGTGAGTGTTGACATGGGACATGGGACAGCATAAGAAGGCAAAACCAGACTCTTCTCAGTGGTGCTCAGTGACAGAAGCAGAGGTGATGGGCACAAACTGAAGAACAGGATGTTCAATTTAAATGTAGGGAAAATCTTTTTTACTGGACCTATGGATGTGACTGGCAATCATAGCATATCAGTCTTTTATCCAGACCTTGTGACTATGCAGATAGAGCATAAAGGAACTATTAGTTATTAGAGGTGTTTCTTAGAGTAAGATCTCAGTTGTACAACCAGAAGTACTGCTATGGCAGGAAAGGAGTAAGACACTATTGAAAAAATGTCTGTGATGGAAAACAATTATTTCTCCAAGCATGATCAGTGGACGTGAACACTACTTAGCATAACTGTTTGTGTACCTAATATTGCCCTTGCATGTTGTATATTCTTCTTATCTGTTTCATTAATATGTGTTGGAACAGGGTCTCAGGAAGTGTTTCCACCAGAATTTAAACTGTCCATAGTAGGGGTGTCAGGGTCCCATCTTCTGCCCCCAGTTATGGAATTCCCACATTCGCCTCTGGTGCCACTGCTGCTTGGGAAGCTGTAAGGGTTGGGGAGATAACAGGTTGGGGACTCAGGGGTGCTGCAACTCCCTGGTTTAAACCGACTGCAACTGCACTTGGATATGATGCCTAACCCTTTAAAGTCATGTTCAGTTGTATGTCAGTCTGAACAATAAAATTTGACACCAATAAAGACTGAGCAGGCGGGAAAGTTGACATGTGATGTGAAGCCAGTCGCAGTCCTTCTTATAACCTGTCACTGTGTGCTGGTATGAGGAATGAACCAAATCTTGTTTTTTCTTCAGCTGCCTCTGACCTCTCCCTGCCTTTCTGTCAAGTCTTTTTCAGTCTTTAGTACTCTCTCAACCTGTATACTTCATAGCTAAGCCAAGCTTGCTTATATATAAAAATGAACTGTAGTGCAATGCAATATACAATTTTATTTCTATTTTTTAAAATAAATTACTAACAAATATGGAGGGTTTTTTGCACTGTTTGTTTAGTACTGACAAGGAAATGTTAACTCTCAAAGAAGTAGGAGGTGAACTCACATGTGTATCTTCTAGCCACTTTTTTATTTTATATCTTCTGTATCTTTACAAAACAAAATCCCATTTTCTCTAAAACAGGCTGAACTTGAATTTTACTGAAGAGTTCTTGGTTTCTGTAGAATTCATGCTCTAAGATTCCTGTTGCAGAAGCAGTCCAACACAAACAAAGGTTTTATTATCAGGAAGAGAAAGGCTATAATCTCTCATGTCTCTTTTGTTATGTACTCAGAGTTAAATTGCTACAGTCCCTGCTCCACAGTGAGGAAAATTAGTTATCTCTTGCTGGTGACAGAAATTTTTCTCACAAGAACAGAGTCAAGATTTCCTATGGATTTGTTTCTTTGTTTTGACATCTAATAAGGGGTGAACTTCACTGCAGTGGAAACAGAAATGGGAGATGTCTCCTCTACTTGTCTTGTCCTCATCCTGACCTCCAAGCATGTCAGAAGTGAGCATCTTTGAACTTTTGCCTTTTGTTAAGTTTGGTAGAAACTGGCCTCTGTGTTCAAATGCTTTCAAGGATAGATACATAGATGAACACAAAGAGACAAGATCACATAAGCCTCTTCCTCTTAAGAAGGAAGATCACATAAACCTCTGAAAATGGAGCTGAGAAACGGACGAATCTTGATGCAAAGGAAAAGCCCACTCTTAGATACTGATCATTAAGATCCTACAATGTGGTGATTATTATGAAAGCTTTGAGAGGAAGGAACTGACTTCCTAAAGAGGACAAATTTGAGGATGAGCTAGTCCAGGGTGCAAAGCCTGCTGTGAGAGAAAGGCAAATGATAAGTGGATGTAAGTATAATTTCCTTCATTCTTTGGTAGACTTTCACAAAAAGACTAAACATAGTGAGAGAGATTCTTCTAAAGCTTGATCTCTCCCACTCTTTCTTTCCTATGAAGAAAGTGAAAATGACACTTTCTCTGTTTAGTCTTCTCAAATCACTTCAGATTACTTATATATTTCTCTGTGTGTGTGGCTTTTGGGGTAAGTGATACCTGCCCACACAAGCTGATATATGCATATGCACAGTCAGACTTACATACAGAGGTATGTTTTTCTATGCCAAATATTGTCAGTGACAGATTGCCATTAAAGACTGACAAAGCAAAATGATGATGAACAACAACAAGGAATATGTTGGCTCATTCTCTTTTAAGCTAAAGTGTTTGATGTTTTGCAGATTTTCAGTTTGTATTTTTATTGATTTTTTTTAATTACTAATAACACTGAATTCAAAAGAGTTTTCGGGAATATATTTAATAAGGCATCTTAGTGATATTCTCACTATAGTGTCAAGCACGATATGGAACTAAAGAATCTTATTTTCAAAAAAAAATCCAACCTTGTGAAATTAGCACCGAAGAATCAAATTTGATTTGTCATTCATGATAGGAGGATGCTGAAGGGTGAGATGAAACCTCCCCTCGATCTATGTGGGGACACTGTGAAGCCTGTTGGGATCAGATCTGTACAGCTGGTGGCCAGACACTGACATCCAAACTGTTGGCCTACCAGGGGTTTTCACATCAGTATGTGTGGGCTGCCCATGCTTTAGTAGCTAGAGCACAGGTTCTGCACTTATGGAGCTCATCTCCCATTTTAGTATCACTTGAAAGAGGTCCTATTCCTGTATTTTGAGTCCACTCTGCATTGTGAACTGAAGTATTGTAAGTGGTTAAATTCTGGACATTTGCTTAAGAAGTGCACTTCTGATTTAAACTAAAATGCTAAAATAGACCACTCAAATCCTTCTTTAGCTTTATCCCACAGAGTTTTATCTCTGGCAATTTCCTCACGAAGAACAGATAAGGCTTTGAGCGTTTTCTCTAGCTTCTCTTATTTCCAGAGAACCTCTTATTCAAACTTCAGAAATACCATAGAAAAGCACCCAGAAAACACTAATGCAATCTCTGAGACCTTTGGTGCTGCTCAGAATTGCTAGTCTGGAAAGCAATTCCCTTTGGTATAAATATCTCTGACAGACAAACCAATTAGAAACACGGAGGGAAGAGGAAGTGCTTAACAATGATGAAATCAAGTAAAGTCAGAGCAACACAGGTGATGTCTATTCTTTGCTCGAGGTCAGAAATGCTGCCACCTCAGAACCTTTTCGCTCAGACTTCAAACTTAAAAGGAAAGAGTCATGCACAATGGGCCTCCGAGTTTAAAATTCTGTGAGTCTTCTGAAGTTTATGTTGAACTTCACAGGCTGAGGTGTTATCCTGTTTACTTGGCGTGTCTTTACCAGACCTGCAATCTGACCGTGATCCGTCTGGGTGGGTTGTTTTGCAGGCAGGCAGACTAACTAATCTTTTCTATCTCTATGTAATTTATCTGAGTCAGAATGAACTTCATGAGTTTGGGTCAGAAACAAGGCAAAGATTTGGGCCAGCTTCTTCTACTGCAGGGGGTGGCTCACCTTTACTCATTTGCAACCTATGAATTTATTAATTATCCAAATATAAGCAGTGACCTTCTGTGACAGACGGTGAATCATGGCTTACTTCCAGTGCATAAATTAACATTTTAAAAGGCTTTTTAAAACACTGTTGACTTTAGCAAGTGAAACATAATAACAAGGATTTGCTGAAGTCTGATGCTGTAAATTTGGATACATTGAAAATTCATTATCTGAGGAAAAATCTAGTATTATAGTGCCAATAACAAGGACATTGCAAGCTGCCATTTGTTTTAGAATGATGTATGGTTTATGATGTTGAAACTGCCATCACAGAGAAGTCACAATGATTTGCCTTAAACATGATTTATGAGTCCTGACTCCAGAGGAAATAATTTCTCTCACATAGAAAGTCATCTCTCTTGGCATTTGTTTTCATCAGGAAGGGAATCTCCTAGCCCTCAAAATTTTGATCTAGAACCTCCTAACTCCCACACTTTTGATTTAATAAAAAAATAAATTTTCCCATTAATTTGGACATAAGGGTGTTACTTATACTGCCTTTCAGCCCATGTTTTTTCATATCATGTTTGAGCAATATTACCAAAAGATGGTAACATGTAGAGCCCTAGATAAAATGTCAATAACTGGGGGGAGCTTAAGTTACATATCTAAGCATGAGTGTGAAGTAGAGGATCCAGTAAACAAATGTAAATGTAAATGTAAATGCCTTGTGGCATTTTCTCTCCCTCTGAAAGAAAGTTGCCTTTGCACAATAAGAACAATACATACAGACTGAGCCCTAAGCAGCTATTCAAACCACAGGGCACATGTGTTATAAACAGCTACTATAGTTTTATTATGTCTTTTTTCCATTTATATCATATGGGGGATAATGCTCATCATTGTCATCTCACACAGAAACAACAGCCTGCTAAATTTAAACACCAGTGAGAACAGAGAACAGCTAAATGCACATTCTTGCCCTTCCCCCACTTCTTTTCCAGCTGCAGGTGGGAGGATTGTTCTCTTGGACATGGAGAAGTTTCTTGATGAGATTTGGATTCTTTTTCTTCAACTGAAACTACTTCTTTGTCTGAGACACTGAGATACTTTTATGAAATGGTGATATGTGAAGACTGGAAGAAGCACAGAGGACGTTCAGTGTTGTTATATTTAAATAAAGCAACTCAGGAAAAAAAAATGTATTTGGATGGATGCAAAACTATTCAGCCTCTCTCTTCATCCCATATCCAAAGTAAGAAAATTCAAATTCTAACAAAGAACTTAGAGATTTCATGAAATTGCAGAGGAAGAAATCCCAGTAGAATGGGAGTACATTATACATTGCATATAAGATGGGGAGAACTCAAGAAATCCTCGTAAATTCTTGCATTCCTTTTCCTCTGTAGAAGTGCACCCTTGCCAAGGTGTCAGCATGCTGAAGAGGAAAGGACAAGATCTGACCTAAGACAAATCTGTACTGTCATTAGTAAACATGAAGTAATGACAGAATATGTACAGACTTTTGTGGATTACAGTGTAATTACACTAAGCAGATCTAAAAGTAATTAATTGGTAACTGCAGTGCTGTTTAGAAGACAGAAAAGCCATATATTCATCTCATAATCACACAGATACCACATGAAAATTAATTACTATGTAATTATATGATCAGTATTTACCATGTTCAAACAGTACTTGTGCCCCTTTAATTTGAAGTGCCACTTTATTTTAAAATACTAAATTACTAAACCTCCTGTGACTGTGGTTTAAATCTAGAGTAGTAATCGCTGTGTGTGGTAAAGCATGTAAGAAAAAAAGTCACTGAATGCTGAATGACCCAGTTCACTTTTTACATACACTAGGAAAAAAATTAATTCTGGCTGATGGAATTTCACAGTGTCCCTCTTTTGGATAATTTTTTCATGCACTCTTTAAAATATTTCTCATTTGACAGAGCTCTTAAAAATATTTCTGTTTTAACAAACCTAGAAGTTTAATCCAGCCTAGTTCAAGACTGCATTTTAGCATACTCTCAAACCTTAATCTGGTTGAAGACAGGGGTTTTAGAACATACTTTAAGGTCAGGGCAGGATTCAGGGCTGTGTTGCACAGAAGTAAGTCATGGCTCTGAGCTTATGTCCTCTCAGAGGTAGTACAGTGATTTTCAGCAGTGTTGGCAAAATTTATTATGCTGCTCTAATAAAAGCAGTTCAGGTTTTGACCAACCCTGGGTTACTCCTGCCAGAGGAACAAGAGAAACAGAAGAAAGGAGACAGAGATGGATAAGGAGCCAAGTGAGGAATCCTGAGGAAACCAGTTTTCTGTTTCAGTTGTGACAAGAGGGATGGCAATAGCAGGACAGAGGGTTCAAAGCTTTTATGGGGGTCGGAGCACCAAGCAGTGGCCCTCACCTTTCAGCCTGTCCTGGGTGGCAGCAGCAAAGAAAGTTGATTTTCTCAAGGCTCTGAAATAGTTATCATGAGCAGTGAGCCATATCCAGCTCATTCTCCTCAGCAGTGTGCTGCCTAGGGCATTTGCCTGCTTTGGGTCTTGGGTGTGCTCTGTTTGCTTGAAGTAAGGGATATTTTTGCCTCACATTGGAACAGTACAGTTGCTTTGTACATGACATACTGGGTGGTGGCCTATTAGCCTGTCTTGACATTGGAGAGCAGAGGTTGCTTTCGGGGTTAAGAAGAAAAACTACGCTCTGTTATTTTCAGTTGTCACTGAAATCTAATTGCTGTGGGAATGTGTTTATGATAACAATATCTGGCCTATACTAATTTATCTCAGACCATGAGCTATCACTGATATTTGAAAGTTGATAATATCCAATCTTTCATCAACACTTTGGGTGAAAGAATGACTTTGCCTGCCCCAGAGAAAACCTTGAAAATTAATGCAATAGCAGCACAGAGCAAATTGTTGACTTGGATCAAGTAAAAGCTAATAAAATTAAGTGGAAAAGCCTGTAACATATTAGCTCTGAAACTTTGTATGGGTACCTCCTGCTCACTGACTGTTTTCATATCTAGTTACAAGTGGCATATTTCATCAGTGCTTGGCATTTATGAACACTTGCATAACGCTCCACACAGATGAAATTTGGATGACTGCACACAATGCAAGGCAGCAGAGAATGAGGAGGGTGCTTTTCCAGAATCCCAAAGCACAAATGCAAATGTTCTTCACTGATTGATTCTTCCTTTAAGGCAACATGTCTTTGCTGACCTCTCTTTGAAATTTACATCATCCAGAGATATTGGAGGGCAAGTGTAAGATGTACAGAAAATACAAACCAAGATCGGTGTGATATGGCTGGCTATTCCTAAACTCTCTCGAAATTTTGGGGCTGAAATTCCTGGTCTTGATCTGAAGTCTTCTATTTTCAATAACTGAAAAATCAAAGGCTAGAGGACTGTCATTTTCCGGAGCATGCTAGAAGTAACGTAATCCCTGAGGCTCCACCTTAACACAGGTCACTGAATATTTTGCTGTTTTTAATTTGTACTTTTCTTTATTGTCTCTTTTTCTTGGACACATCTTCTGAGCTTTTTTTTCCAGTTTGGTTGTAGCTTATAGAAGTAGCTATGTGAATGGTATTTATTACTCATCATCATTTGGGTAGTTTATGAAGACATCTATTCAAGTACATGGGTAGGCCGTCATTTTTGTGCTGACAGCATGAAAGGGCAAGTGCTGGGCAAGAAAGCTAAACTTTGTATGGATATTCATGTTTTCATATTTTTTTAGAAAAGAAAGAATGAAAGACATCTCCCCTCCCAAGCAATTCTGAATGTATAAATACAGAATGTATTTTACCCTTTACTTTTTTGACTCAGAGTCTTGAAATCTCCACATTCAATGTTCTCCTGTCAAATGAGATTAATTTTTCATGCTTATAACTAACAAGCATGGTGGATCAAATCCTTACATAAAATTAATAATTTTGCTCAAGTTAGACCAAAATTAATTGATTTTGCTTACTGTTTGTGGTCACAAACTCTCCTAGCTCTCAGAGGGGGATTTGTTTAAGTAAGGCTTGTTGTATGTCCTCTCCTTTGCCTTTCACCATTTTAATCATTCTCTGCTCTGAAATTCTAAGTTACCAAGCCACTAATTTCTTCTGCCTTTCTACACTGGACAAAAGGATGTTATGTTTAAAAAACCAAAAAGCCACTCATTAATCATCCAAGACTGAGAAAATGGCTTCCAATTAGCTTTTACCATGAGCAGTGAGTGGGATAGAATGAATTATTTAAAATGACATTGTGGCTTTTAAATATAAATACTTGTTTACTCAAAAAGGACTTTGGGATTTATCAGAATGACAGTTTCTTTAAAAGTTCTTACACTTGGGAAATTATTTGTTTGCTTTGTTCTATTTATCACAAGCTGATCAAGGGTTAGAAGCTGTCCACAGTTTTGTTTTCTGAGTGAAGTTTTAGAAGACCATATAAAATATTCAGTTAGGGTAGTCATATTTGTCCTCTAGTTGTACTGATAGAAATCCAGAGAGATTGTTTATTGAGAAGTTACTGTAGATTTACAGCAGTACTAAGAGCAGAACTTAGAGTAAGATGGTGCAGCTGTATTTGTATGTCTAGGGGAAGGCATTTATCAAATGATGTACAGTATGAACCAGAATATTCACATACCGATAATGAACCAGAAGATGCAGAATTCTTGCTACTTTTAAGTATTTTGCTGTTTATCACAGCTCAACTCAGTTGTTTATCCTTAATATTAGAATAATATTGAATGATTTTGAAGCATATATCCCATTTTCAAACTATCAGTTCAAATGTTTTGGGGTTTAACCGCAGGCAGCAACCAAGTCCCACACAGCTGCTCACTCCTGCACTCATGGGGTGCAGGAAAGAATTGGAAGAGTAAAAGCAAGAGAACTTGTGTGACGAGGTAAAACCAGTTTAACAGGTAAAGCAAAAGCTGCAGATTCAAACAAATCAAAACAGGGAATTCAATCATCACTTTCCATGAGCAGGCAGCTGTTC